CTCCAGGCTTAGTGAGTGACCTGGTCTCAGAAACTCAGGTGGAGTGATAGAATAAGATCCCTGAGGTCAATCACTGGCCTTATTGCATGTTTGCTGGGGTGCACACACCTGTACCTGCACGAGAATATATAACCAGAGAGAGATTTGTGAGATCTGGCTGGAATGACAGACTTTTAATCCCTCTGGCCAGATATGCCCTTAGTACACACCTTTAATCCCAAACAAAGACGGTAAGGTTAGTTTACATGAGGAAACACCCATGTTTGAAAGTGACATCTAATTGAGGGACAAAGTGACGAATCATAGAACGATTTGGCAGAATAGGATAAGCCAACTCTCCAGGAGAACAGACAGGAAAGAGAAGCTACTTAAGAGCAGTACAGGAGAGTTAAGACAGTAGAGTAGGGCTATGCAGTAGAGAGAGGAGGCAGTTATACTGTGAGAGTTTTGCAGAGACAGGCGGGAGAGAGAACAAGCTAGATACGGGTGAAGACAGAATGAGCCAGAGGATGAGAAGGATCCAGAAGATTGGAAGAGATTGCTAGAGTTAGTTTAAGGTCAAGCAGACCAATTCAGCCAGAAGCTGAGAGAAGCCAGTTTGAATCAGTCAGACTGGAGAGAAGTTTGAACCAGAACAGCTGAGGTGAACCAGCAAGCCAGAGTTCAGAAAGAACTAGAAAAGGGCCAATTATTCAGCAGTAAGCCTCTAAGAAAACAGTTACATCTGCACTCACACAGGGTAGATAAGGGCCATGGAGGTAGAGTCTCAGCAAAGTTGAATGATAGACATATGAATAAAAATGTCACAGTGAAACCCATCATTTTGTGCAATGGCTATATGGTAAAAACAATTAGCATGTTGGTAGCATTTCCATGCAGAATCTGCCAACAGACTACCTGTTTCTGGAACAGTGCATCTAGGGCTACTGCCCCATGCTTTAAGCCAACCCTGTGACTCAAGTTACTGGATCTTCTCTGGTCAAATAGAGACTTTATCCTGGCACTGGCCCTTCTCCTAGTTCAATACTCGTGCGTACGCCTGTATAATCTCCATTACAGTACAAACAGGCTAGCCTATCTTACAAAAGATTTAAATTCTCCTTCATATGTACTGTTCTTCTTTTCTGCTTCCAATTAGAGCTACGTATCCTTATCTTTCCATGTCTCTGTGATTCAAGTTCAGTTCTCACCTTTCTCTTCTTAGGAAGCTACACTTACAAAGGCCGTTAGTGACCTCCACCTTTCTTGAACTCAAGATCAAATCTACATTCTCAACTTCCTTGAACTTCGAGGAGCAGATGACACAGTTTGGCAATGACAGTCTGTCAACGTATGACATTTAGTCCCTTGTTAGGCAAACCCTCTTCTTTGTTTCATATTGTAAGTAACTACTGTGTTATCCTAGGATCCTGCTACCTGACCATTCCGTAAGGGCTCAGAAGAGATGCAGACTCTTAGTCATGGTGGATCATGGTGGATCCTATAATTCCTGTATTTGAGAGGCTGAAGCAGGAAGGTTCCTGGGCTACAGAGTGAGACTCTATCTTCCTTAAAAAGAAGACTCTTGGGTCCTGCCCTAGAGGCTGCCTACAAAGTGTACCCCAAAGACTCATGCGCTTAAGCTTGGTTCCCAAGTGACAGAGATCCCAGCCCTAATCTATCTGTAGCTCTATCTATCAACAGATGTGTATCAATCTATAGATCTATTATTATTAGCACATGGTGAAAAGTTTTGAAGGAGGAGACCTGCTTAAAGGGACATGGTTGCTGGGGTATGTCCTTGGGGTTTATGTTTTGTCCTGTGCCCTGTCCTCTCTCCTTTGTCTTCTTTTTCCTCTTCCTTCTCTCGTTTTCCCTCCCCTCAACTGCCATGAGAGCATCTTTGCTCTATTACGTTCCCCACCATGTTCTGCCTCCTCACAGCTTAAAAGCTGACGATGGGCTGAGACCTCTGAACCCAAAGACCAAAGTCAATCTTTCCTCCTTTATTTTCCCCAGAGGACTTTTGTCACAGTGATAAAACACTAACACTGATCTTTAAGTTGGTGTGCTGACAACCAATAAATGGGGCCTCATGAAACTGAAAAGCTTCTGTAAAGCAAGGAATACTGTCATCAGAACAAAACGACAGTCTACAGACTGGAAAAGGATCTTTACCAACCCTATATCTGACAGAAGGCTGATATCCAGAATATATGAAGAACTCAAGAAGTTAAAAAGCAACAAATCAAGTAATCCAATTAAAAAATGGGGTACGGAACTAAACATTCTCTAGAGAGAATTCTCTATAGAGGAATATAAAATGGCAGAGAAACACTTAAAGAAATGCTCAACATCCTTAGCCATCAGGGAGATGCAAATCAAAACGACCCTGAGACTTCCCCTTACACCCATCAGAATGGCCAAGATCAAAACTCAAGTGACAACACATGCTGGAGAGGGTGTGGAGAAAGGGGAACCCTCCTCCACTACTGGTGAGAATGTAAACTTGTACAACTACTCTGGAAAACAATCTGGCGCTTTCTCAGACAAAGAATAGCGCTTCCTCAAGATCCAGCCATACCACTCCTAGACATATATCCAAAAGATGCTCAAGTACACAATAAGGACATTTGCTCAACCATGTTCATAGCAGCTTTATTCATAATAGCCAGAACCTGGAAACAACCCAGATGTCTATTAACGAAGGCATGGATAAAGAAATTGTGGTACTTTTACACAATGGAAAACTACTCAGCAATTAAAAACAAGGAAATCATGAAATTTGCAGGCAAATGGTGGGATCTAGAAAATATCATCCTGAATGAAGTATCCCAGAAGCAGAAAGATAATACCCATGGTATATACTCACTTATATAGACCTATAAGATAGAATAAACATACTAAAATCTGAACACCTAAAGAAGATAAACAAGAAAGAGAACCCAGGGTAAGATGATCAATCCTCACTTAGAAAGACAAATGGGATGGACATTGGAAGTAGGAGAAAACAAGTAACAGGACAGGAGCCTACCATAGAGGGCCTCTACCTGAAAGACTCTACCTAGCAGTACATCAAAGCAGATGCTGAGACTCATAACCAAACCTTGGGCAGAGTGCAGGGAATCATATGAAAGAAGAGGGAGTTAATATGATCTGGAGAGGACAGGAGCTCTACAAGGACCAAATATATCTGGGCACAGGGGTCTTTTCTGAGACTCTTTCTCCAACCAAGGACCATGCATGGATATAACCTAGGAACCCTGCTCTGATGTAGCTTATGGCAGCTCAGTAATCAAATGGGTTCCCTAGTAAGGAGAACAGGGTCTGTCTTTAACATGAACTCAGTGGCTGGCTATTTGACCTTATTCCCTCCCCCCCAAGGGAGGAGCAGCCTTGCTAGGCCACAGAGGAGGACATTGCAACCAGTCCTGAAGAGACCTGATAAGCTAAGGTCAGATGGAAGGAAAGGAGGACCTCCCCTAACAGTGGAATTAGAGAGGGGCCGGGAGGAGATAAGGGAGGGAGGGTGGGATTAGGAGGGAATGAGGGACAGGGTTACAGCTGGGATACAAAGTAAACAAACTGTAACTAATATAAAATAAATAAATGAATGAGTAAGTAAAAAAAGTTGGTATGCTGGCTGGTTTTTATGTCAACATGACACAAGCTGGAGTCTTCTGAGATAAGGGAACCTCAACTGAGAAAGCGCTTCCATAAGATCTGGCTGTAGGCAAACCTGTAAGGTATTTTTTAAATAACTGTTTGATGAGGAAGGGCCCCGTTCCCTGCCAACCCTGGGATGGTGGCCTTGGGTGCTATAAAGAAAAAGAAGGCAGGGCAAACTGTGAGGCTCAAACCTGTGAGCAGCATTCCCCTGTGGTCTCTGCAGTCAACTCCTGCCTCCAAGTTCCAGCCTGGGGTCCCTGCCCTGACTTCCCTCTGTGATAGACTGTGGTGCGGAAGGTTTTAGTCATGGAAATGCACAGGAACTCAGAAGGGCCCCACCATCCACTATCAGCTTGATCCACATCAGGGCTCTCGGGATTTGGCGTGGAGGGTGTTTGAGGCTGGATGGTTTTCTGTTGTGGGAAGCTGACCTGAACATTATAGTGTTTAACAGCACTCCCGGCTATTTCTAGACTAGATGCCCACAGCACCTCCGTATCTGCCAGCTGTGGCAACCAAGAATATCCTCAGGTCTTGCCAAATGGCCTCTGCGACAGTAGAGTCACCACTAAATACAAATCAGTTGAAACCACGGGTCCGTTTCATAAGATATTTGTTTATGTATTTGGTTGTCTGTTCATTTAGTTATTTATTGTAGAGCTGAGGACCGAACCCGGAATGTTGTGCTTGCTAGGCAAGCACTCTACCACTGAGCTAAATCCCCAACCCCTGAACTCATGAGTCTTTTGTTTCTCATCTGAATGCCTATAACCACCTAGTGCTATCACCAAGGACATCTCTCCTGGGTCTTCCGACATGTGCCATTGACCACTGCTCTTCACCTCTGTCTGGAGGTTTGGTGAGACTCTCCTACTTCTCAGGTCCCAGACAAGGCCTCCTGGTTTTCCCTTAAACCCGTTCCTCCCTTAGCTTTTCACATTCAGTAAATGGCTTTCAAGCACTGGCCTAGGTACCCTGGCTCCATCCTGTCCGGGCCACTCACAAATCCTGCCTGCTCTACTGCCCCTGAATCTATTTCATCCTGTCTACACCAGTACCTAAGTCTAAGTCAGCACAGTTCTCTCCTGGCCTGTCTTGTGTTTCCTCCTGTGCACCCAACTGTCCATCTAGACAGCAGCCAGGCTGGTCCTTTGAAACCTATTAGGTCCATCAATGCTGTTTAAAAGGCTCTCGTTTGGCTTTCCCCGATCTGAACTTTTCTGACTAACCTCATGCCTGTTCTCCACATTGCTTCTTCTGTCCTGACACACTGCCCTGATTGTGGCTTCTGGAACATGCAAAGGTCTCGGGACCTTTGCGCTTGCTGATTTTTGTGCCTGGGACATTCTCCACTTTCTGGATTACTGGCCTCACTAGTTACCTGTTCCTATTGTCCCTCAGAGTACTTTCCCTGACTGTCCTACACACAGAACTCTCTTTACAATACGCTCCTGCGTCCCACTTGCTTTCTTTTTGTTAGTTAAGAACTGTTACTAGGGCAAGGTTTTGCTAACACCCCACTCTGGTCCAGTGAGTGGGGTTTAATAGTAACCTTTGCTACAAGTGTAAAAAAAAAAAAAAAAGAACTGTTACTAATTGGCCCTGAGGACAGCTTATGATCTTCTTTCTTTGTCCTCCTCCTCCATGGAGGAGCTCAAGAAAGGTCAGGCCTCATGTTTATTCCCTTCATTCTAGAACAGTACCTAATATTTATCCCATAAATATTCACTGGATTCATGATTCACCTGGTATTTATCCCATAAATATTCATTGTGTTTATGACTCAAAGCTGAGTTGCATTAGGATATTGCCAACCCTCAAGGAACCAGAAGTTAAAAATTAGAACTCCTTCTCTTCCCTTTAGACTGAAAAGGGTAGGGGGTGGGGAGAATGGGGCCTGGAGAGATGGCTCTGTTGTTGAGAGCACCAGCTGCTCTTTTATAGGACCTGGATTTCCTTTCCAGCACCTGCATGCTAGCTTATAACTGTCTATAATTCCAGTTCCAGGGGACCCGATGACCTCTTCTGATGCCCTCTTCTGGCCTCCATGGGTACCAGAACAAAAATTATATATATGTATATATATATCCTGTAAAAAAATAAAGTATAAAAAGAGGCCCGAGGAAATGGCTCAGTGGCTAAGAGTGTTTTCTGCTCGTGCAAAGGACTAAGCTTTAGTTCCTTGCACTCACGTCAGGTAGGACAGCTCACAATTACCTGTAACCTCTGCTCCAGGGAATTCAGTACCCTCTGTTCCCTGGGGGCATCGGCTGTGCCCACATGTGTGGGCATGTGTGTGTACACATGTGCGCACACACAGGAATAAAATAAGTTTTAAATATATAAAAGCTACCATTAGAGTTTGAAAACACACCATCAAAATTGTTAGGATTTGCCCCCAAAATAACTGCTAGGTAGGTGCATCCGGGAGAACTGGAGCCCAGTGATACCAGACAGTATATCCTTTTCAAGAGAAGTCAGAGAACAAGCATAAAAGTAAAATAGGAAGATGCTGAAACCTGGACAACTAAGGCAGAAACTATCTGAAATCATGGAATCAGAACGAATCCCATTTCGGACCTGATGTGGCCTGCACACCACTAGCTTTCGACCCTGCTTTTAGCCCCGCTGCAGATGGCTCCCCTTCGGGGAGCGGCGCTTTGCCTTCCCACGTGTCAACATCTGTCTCCTCAGCCCATGACCCGGCTCTGCTCCCCGGCCCTCCAGCCTCTGTTCAGGCCTAGCCAGTTGGACGCTTCACCCTTTGAATAGGATGGCTGCTCTAAAGAAGTCTAGCGAGAGTCAGCCTGAGACTCGGGAGGTGAGGTCCCCTTGACTCCAGCTTTAGAAAGGGCTCTAACCAAGCCAGCTGAGGAAGGTGGGAGGAGCCACGCTGTGCCGTTACCTTCTTGCTTTTCTCTGTGAGCCACTGAATCCTCTCCTGGTAGACTTTGATCATGCTGTGGAGACACCAGAAAAGACTCGTTTACCAACAGCGGGGAATCATCACCAAGCATTGTCACACACACAGGAAGGTGGCCAGGATTTTTACACGTTTCAGTTATCTAAATTTTTAGTTAAAAAAACCTTTCTTTTCTTTTTTTTTTTTTTTGAGACAGAGTTTCACTGTATGAAACTGGCTTGCCTGGAGCTTGCTCGTGTAGACCAGGCCTCAAACTCACAGAGTTCTGCCTGCCTCTACCTCCCTGTCGCTGGGGTAAAGCTGTGGCCTCTTCTACATTTTTGAGGGAGACTCTCACTCTGTAACTCAGGTTGGTCTCAGACTCTCTCTCTTATTATTTTCTAATTTAAAAAAAATCACTTTGTGTGTGTTTGTATGTGTGTTGGCAGGAGGGGAGAGGAGATGAGGAGGAGGAAGAAGGAGAGAGAGAACATGTGTGTGCGCATAGGCCTGCATGTGTGCATGCGTGTGTGCGTTCATGTGTGTGTGTGTGTGTTCAGGTGCAAGCGTTAGTAGGAAGAGCCAGGTTCCCAGCACCACTTTTTGGAGCCATCTCACCAGCCCAGCCTTAGACTCTCAATCTTTTTGTTTGGTTTGTTTGTTTGTTTGTTTGTTTGTTTTGCCTCAGCCTCCGCATACTGGAACTCGAGGCGCGAGTTACCTGGTTGGCTGAATTTTTAATGTTTAAGGCCGACGTGTGGAGGGTATAAGGCAAATGTAACCAAGACAGAGCTAAGGCTTGTTTTTGCCAGGGCAGCAGGCCAAGAAGCGGGGGCCGTGTGGGCACCAGGGCCTGGCTGCAGCCCTCCTGTGAAGCAAGACAGGGTGCTGATGGCTACGGGTGCGGTGCCGGGGTGCAGGCCCGGGAGGCTGGGGGCAGAGTTCTCATGAGCAAGGCAGGGGAAACCGTTGCTCACTCCGATCTGAGTCTGTTTCTAAAAACTCGTTTATTCAGTGTGTTTGAGTGTTTCACGTGGATGTGTCCCCTCTCTGTGTATTCCTGGTGCCAGTGGAAAGTCAGCAGTGGAAGAAGGTAGCAGATCTCCTGGAACTGGGGCTGTGGAAGACGGTGAGCATTCATGAGATTGCTGGGAACCAAACTCAGGTCCTCTGCAACGTTAACAAGTGCTTTTCAGCTGTCTCTCTAGGCCCTAGGATAATATGAGTCTTTACAGAAGAAACTGTCCCAAGTTTCTTCAGGGACTGACCACAAGGCTGTGAAAGCAGAAGGTCAGCCGGCCGTCTTGGACTGATTAACAAAAATAGGTTTCTAAAGAGTAACCAAGAGAACCCATTGACCACTGTGCCTATAGCAAAGCGAACGCTCCCGTGATGGTGTGGACACCGGCAGGTGATGGGTGTTTGTGGAAAGGCCTTAGTCACTTGACTCTTCACTGAGTTGCCTCGCTGAGAGCAGCTGGGAGAGAAGAGCATGGGTGGCCGGAAGGTTGGTGGCTACAAATTCATGAGGTGAGAGCACAGGAAGAGTCAGGAGCGTGAATATGGGGCCAAGTCACTGAGCCTCACACTGAGACACGCTTGTGTTTGACAGTTTGCTGGCAGTAACCATGACATCAAGGTGGGAGGGGGATGTTTTGGGGAAGGGTCTGGGAGGAAATGAAGGGTAGATTCACATTTAATTGCATACGTGTATTAAACCTCCAAAGAACAAATGAAATGTTGAGTTTGCAGTTCAAAACAACGGGGCCAAATATTATAGAACTCTGCATATGTACAGGGAAACATTCTATAATCCAATAACTCAGGAGGCTGAGGCAGGAGGATCTCAAGTTCAAGGCCAGTCTGAGCTGCATAGGCCCTGCCACAAACAAACAAATAAATGAACTAATGAACGAACTAACTAACTGAAGATCAAGTAATTGTTTAAAACATTCTGATCCCCAAAAACGTTCTATGAAATCTATAGTTAAAGCATTTTGATAAGTCCCACTAATTGGTCGCTGTATGATAACAGTTGAGCAACCACCTTTTGGTTAATTGGTTTGACTTTTGGTAATTAAGTTGAGAACAAGACAATGTTTTGGACAGTTGTAAGGATGAAATGAGATCTTGTAGGCAGTCCTTAGCAGAGTTTCTGGCACATTAATAAATTTTAGCTGTTAATTATTATAGCTGCTTTTTGGGAAACCTTAGGCAATAGTAATTATGGGTCATAGATTAGTACATCTGGGATGGAATCCCAAAAATCATCCTGTCTACTGATTATCAGAAGATGTCTGTGAGTGTGTGAGTATGTGAGTTAGAGTGTGTGTGCATGTGTGTGCTACTTACGCTATCATGATTGGTTTAGGTGTGGCTGGGGAGATGGGTCAGCAGTTAAGAGCACTTGGTGCTTTTGCAAAGGATCCGGGTTCAGTTCTCAGCACCCACATGGTAGCTCACAACCATCTGCAAGTCGGGTTTCAGGGGATCCAACACCCTCTTCAGGACTCTGTGGATGCCCAGCACACGCATGTGCACAAAGGTACATGCAGGCAAGAGATTCATACACATAAGATAGAAGTGATTGGTTTGGGAGTTGGTCACAGGCCTGACACACATCTGCAAGGTTGGGAGCTGCAGCAGTCTGACAAAGCCGTTAACCGGCAAATGAAGAGGGGATGTCTGAGGCATTCACTGGAGGGCATGGCGGGGGGCTGTTCAAAGGCCAAGAGATGCCAGTCTAGTCCAATGTTTTCATCTGAGAAAAGGGCAAACTAGAGGAAGACGAGACAGGCTTAAGGTCCCCTGGAACTGTTGACTGCTCTCAGTCATGTGCAGGCTATGGGATGAGAGAAGGCCTCAAGCTCTGGGGGGCTGGAGAACATGGTTAAACTCACTCAGAAAGCCTCGATTCAAAGTGGCGGGCGGTCTGGGTGGAGAAAGGCAGCCTGGGCGCAGTGCTGTCATGCTCTTCCCTGAAAAAGCAAAGCCTTATTTGGGGTTTCTCAGGCTCAGGGCTTGCTGCACCAACATAGCCTTGGGGAGCCTGGGAGGAAGGGTGGAAGGATTTCAGACTTACAGCCCAACTGTGCCCTGGCTTATCAGGTCAGCCAGGGTGAGCTTCTCAGACTTTAAACTGTGAGTTGACAGCCAGTCTTCAGAGTCTTCTGAAGCTGAGTCCTGAGACTCAGTTCCCTGCAGCCTCTACAAGGCAGAAACCAGAGTCAGACAGGGACCAGCGGGAAGAGGGACAGATAAGGGTGTTCTTTGGTTCCCTTCACACAGAGGTTGTGAACTCTGAGGACCCCGTCCCAAGGTATTTTAAAAATTCTCCTTGCTAACTGGACCCAGTGGAACATGCCAGTAACCCTAGCACTTGGGAGGTGATCAAAGCCAGCCTGGGCTACAGAGCAAGGCTCTCACTCAAAACACAAACAACCAGCCGGGTGCAGTAGCACACATTCTTGGTCCCGGCACTCAGGAGGCAGAGGCAGGCTGATATACCGGAGTTCAAGGTTAGCTTGGTCTACAGGACAGCTAGGGCTACACAGAGAAATCTCCCAAATCAATCCCGGCAGATACCTTCTTCTGTGGAGTCTCCCTCCAGTGCCCCACCTGCTGAGAGCTTACAGTCAAAGGTGCCAGAGGAGGCCCTCTCTTCTGCATGAATTTCTCTATTTCCCATCCTGTCTACGGCAAACCCAAATCAAAGGGGCTGCCTCCCTGGTGGTGAGCAAGGTCTGGATACATTTCTGGCTTGTTCTCAGTGAGGTGGTCTTGCTTACTCCCAAGAACTTACTCTTTTCAGGTAAGTTCTGTCCCCTAGCATTCTAAGAGACTCTCAGCAAACACCAGTTGGTCATTCTAGCTCCACCCCAGAGGCCAGAACCAGAGCGGTGGGTAGTTGTTTATGTTTAGAGGACTAAGTTCCTGCTTGTCACAGGACTCAGCTACCACACCTGTGCCTAGTGACGTCTGTGTCACCTGCGGGCCTGGTAGTGGAGCTGAAGCTCCGTTGTGAGCAGCTGGCCCTCCCTTCCAGAGCCAGCACATGGACAGCCTTAACAAGACTGAGTCTGCCTTCTGGGATATTTCTGAGCCATTGCTTTGAACTGGCCCCATCCGTGGTGCTCGGGCTATGGTGCGAGTAAAAATATTGTCTTCCCTCAGCTTGCACTCTAGTGTGGACAGATGGACACCAATATGCAGGGGAGTGTCAGATAGGATCATTTATAACAAAAAAGGAGGAGGGAAAGTGGCTAGGAAACTACCAGGGTGCTTTGGGAGGCTGCCTCGCTGAGTAACAGTCAGGGAAGACCTCTGAGCCAGGCCGGGAGGGCTCAGGAGGAGCCAGCCTGACACACAGCAAAGGAGGCCCATTCCAGGTGGAGCCGTGGAGGGATGGAGGGGCTGACTTATGTGAAGATGAAAAGGGCAGCCACGCGTGGGAGTGTAGTTGTGGTGGTCTGAGTGAGAATGGCCCCCTAGGCTCATACGTATGAATGTTTGGTCCCCAGTTGGTGAACTGTTCGGGAAGGATTAGGGGGTGTGGCCTTGGAGGAGGAGGTGTGTCACTGAGGGTGAACTTTGAAGTTTCCAAAGCCCATGACATCCTCGTTGACTCTCTCTCTGTGCCATGTAGTGTCTGTGGTCTCCCGATGTGAGCTCCAGTACCATGCCTGCCTGCCTGATGTCATGCTGCCCACCGTGCGGGTCATGAAGTAACCCTCTGACCGTCAGCAAACCCACAATGAAATGCTTTCTTTCAGAAGTTGCCTTGGTCATGGTGCTTTGTCAGGGCAATGGAAGAGTAACTAAGACGGTAGTAGATAAAAGTAGATAAAAGCACAGACTGTGCAGGTACTCGCCGCACAGGTGTGCAAGGTAGGAAGAGCATCTTGTGCTAGCTACAGCTGCTGCCGTCTGTGTGCTCCAGGAGGGCCTTGAATATAGACGGAGCTGGACCATAACACGCTTCACCTGCGCGCTTCACCTGATCTCAGGTGAAAGGCCGAGGAGCGATTGTTTACTGAGGCTCTAGAATCCAGCTCAGCCCTAGTGTGAGACCCACAGACTCACAGACACAGATGCCTACACACACAGTCTGTCTTTGGGCTTGCATCTATCAGGTTTTCCCTGTAGTGGGCAAGGTGCTGACTGGAGGCTGAAAGCCGTCTGCTGCAGCGGAATGAGCCGCCGCGCAGAGGACAGAGGACACGGGAGGAAAGCCTGGAGGGGTGCAGCACGGTGTCTCAGCTTTCTCGCAGGCAGTGCCCCCCTCTCCTCAATTGTGACTGGGGCAATGTGAAGCTAGGGCACAGAGCGCCACCCCGGATCCCTCTGCACCTACAGCTCTCAGCAACGGCTCGGCCACCCCGACTTGCTGGCCCGCAGAGGGTTGTCCTAAAACAAAGGTGCGGAGAAAAAGGCTGCTAACACTGCCCACCTTGCATTTTTTGCCCAAGACCGGTTCTGTCTGGTTTCAAAAGGAGATTAGCAAGAGCTCAGGATGTGTGAACACACGCTCCTATTGACTGCAAATACTAACATGGCGCCTAGGCTATGCCGAGCACTTTCCATGTAGTAGTTATGTAACCCCATGAGACCGCCGCTTTCCTGACAAGGGAGCTGGGGCACAGAGAACTTAAGTCATTTGCCCAAGGTCACACAGCTAATGATGGTGATGGAGCTAGGACTCAGGGGAAAGCTTTATCAAGTCAAGCTCGTGTCCGAAACACTACATGGCTTCCATGAATGAGCACAGACTATGGTTATCCGCATGAGAAACTTTCTCACTATGTGATTCAAGGCTAAGAACGTCCCTCCTGCCTTCAAGAGCCTCAGGCCAGAGACCACAGCCTCCGGTCTACGCTTCGGGAAACAAGGCTGTGTACCCTGTGACCACTAGGTGGCGCTGATCTCTTCCAGGACGCCCTGTGCCTCACACTGATCACGCACCCTTTCCTCCCCCCCCCCCCCCCCCCCCCCCCCCCCCCCCCCCCCCCCCACCCCCCGCCCCAGTCTGGCACTTGAAGCGGTCTGTCATGCTTCAGGCTGTGGCTTTTGCTCTGCAGACATCTGAAAGTTCATTCCTACATCTGTCATTGTGACTGAGGGCCCAGCTGTTCTTCTGCTAAAGTGGGTACTTTGAATTTTTTAATTATGTGTGTGTGTGTGTGTATATATATATATATATATATATATATATATATATATATATATATATAAAAATATATATATAAATTGTGTATGTGCGTGTGTGTAGCTTCCCATACAATATTACCATTTGTATATAAATAAATTAAAATTTTAAATAAATTATATGTAAATAAACATAATATTTATATATTACATGGATATATATATATATATGTGTGTGTGTGTATACATACACACAACATATTCTTCTAGATCCAGTCTCTGTGTATCCCTGGCTGTCTTGGAACTCACATTGTAGACCAGGCTGGCCTTGAACTCACAGAGATCTGCCTGCCTCTGCCTCCTGAGTGTGAGACTAAAGGCGTGCACCGCCATGCCCAGCTCATACATTTAGACCGTGTTTTTTCCCCTCTCCCAACTCCTCCCAGATCTCTTTCCCCCAACTTTATGCTCTGTTCTCTTCAAACCCCCTCTCTGACACTCCCCACAAAAACAATCAAAACAGGCAAACACGAAATCATTAAGGCAAAAAATGGAAAGCCCAAATAAAACAAAAATTCAACCCCCCCCCAAAAAAAAAAAACCCAGTAAGTTGTTTTTGTGTTGGCCAAAACACAAAGGCATGGGGCCTGCCCTGGCATGCACTGATATGCCCAGGGACACTCCACTGGAGAAAATCCATTTTCCCTTTGACCGTGGGTGTTAAGGACAGTAGCTGCTTGGCTGCGGGACCTTGTTGTGTAAAATGGACCCTTTCAGAACACTAAGCTCAGTGTTGGACAACCAGAACTCTCACTGCCCTGAGAGGGCCAGCAAGAGGCCCGTCTGTAACCGGTAAAGGTGCACCAGGCCCTTTCCACGCCTGGGAAGTCAACTGGGCGATCTGATGGGAAATCAGATGGAGCAAAGGCCCATGTCACTGGTAACCAAGAGCTGAGGTTGAATTTCGGATGCTCCTGCCCCCACCTCCAGAGTGCTGGGGTTATAGGTCTGTGCCTCCACACCTTGCTTCCTTGTTTCTGTTTAACTAAATTTGTTGTCCCATAAATGCCTGAACTTGAGAGGAACAGTTGACCGTTTTTCTGGCTGTTTACTTGCTGATATCTATAAGGCTGGATTTCCTTTGGCTGGTATGGAATTCCTATTCTACTGTGGATTTCCTAGAGGGGCTGGCCAGCTGCCTTGAACTTACAACTTGTAGGAATGATTTGTAAGCACCACTGGCGGGGGTGGGGGGTGGGAGGGATGGGGATGGGGTGAAGGGAAGATGGAGTGGAGGAGGGGAAGGGGAGGAGGGGAGGTGGGGGAGGACTATGGTTGTTACCAGTAAGTCCTCGGTCTGGTTAACATGTATAGCCAGAAATCCATCCTGAGCATTCATAGCCTTCTGGTTCAGTTGCTTCTGTGAATCTCTGTCAGTGTGTCTGTCCATGCTACAAAACAAAGTGATTTGATCAGCGCCCAGCCCCGTGTCATCTCCCCACCATGAGTGCCTCTAACTCCCCACTCCACACCGCCTCCCCCCCGCCCCCAACCTTCTGCTCCTAAAAGGATTCAGGACATTTTAAATTTTGTATGGAAACTGAAAGGATTCCTACAGAGTTTTTGATAAAAGTCTGGTTTGTGAGATTTTTTTTTCCCTTGCAGTTTAGGTAGATCTCAAAAGCCCCACTCTATGTAAGACGTTGCAATGACCATTTATCTGGTCTCTGTTCAAGGCTCATTTCCCCCTCAATTCTCATGAGCAAACTCTCGCTGCTATTTTCATCTGGAAAACCAGAAGATCACATTTACCAGGGATTTTCTAGAGATGAATCACCCTGACTGTGGAAGATATGGCTCCTTTGAGTCATAATCATGAAATCACCTAAACCTTCCTCTTCTGACCACTGCAAGAATGTAGATGTTTACACAATAGTTTTTCTGCATTTGTCCAGCTCAGCTCCAGTGCACCGAACACTCGTCCAGCACCTGCTGGCTGAAAGGCTCCACACTCCATGAGGGCATGGCAGTCAACAAGATGGCAAGTGCTCCCTTGGCACTTTTTCTTTCTAAGACAGGGTAGCTCTGTAGCCCTGACGATTTTAGAACTCGTTATATAGACCTGGCTGGCCTCAAAGTCAGAGATCTGCCTCTGCCTCCTGAATTCTGGGATTAAAGCCACCATGGCCAGCTAGGCTTGGTACTTTGGGTATCTGGATGAGAATTTCTGTTGTGGAGCTGCCCTGTGCCCTGAAGGCTATTCGCTGGCATCTTTGGCCTCTATCGGTCAGTTGCACCTTGTTTCCTTCAGTTTGACAATGCTGTGTGCCCTAGACATGCCTTCTGGCAGTCCCCAGTTGTTCTAGTTGAGAATCACTGAGATAGATATCGCCATTGCTCTCTCAGAGTTTCTATTCATGTAAAGACTTGTGTACATACATGTTTTCCTGCATATATGTACTAAACTGCATGCATGTCTGGAGCCCACTGAGGCCTGGACACCCTGGAACTATAGAATTATGGATGATCATAGGCTGGGAACTGAGCCCAGGTGCTCAGCTAGAGCAACAAGTGTTCTTGACCTCTGAGGCATCTCTCCATCCCTCCAGAGCTTCTATTCTTGATGAGAACAGTGCTATTAAAAAGTTATTGGTGGGTTGATGAGCTGGCATCAGGGTTGAAGGCACGTGCTGCCAAGTCTGACAACCAGAGCTGGATTTTCAGAACCTACATGGGAGGAGAGTAAAGGCTCCTGAAAGCTGTCCTCTGACCTCCACACGCATGTTGCATTAGTACACACACATGAATGCAAATGCACACACACACACAAATACTAAAAAAAAACTTAATAGTTATTGAGAGGGAGGTCAACAGAGAAGAAGGAGGGATGGGGGACAAATACCAAGGTTACCAACATTGTTTGATAAAGTCTCAAAGAATCAAATTATTTTATATTTGCTTAAAATCATACCCAATATATACCTCTGTGTGCGTGCGTGCATGCGTGCGTGCGTGTGTGTGTGTGTGTGTGTGTGTGTGTGTGTGTGGTGTAGCTTAAAGGAAGTCACTTGGGTTGACAATGCTCCCCACAAGAACCACACGCTAACAAAACCTCAGAACTCGGTATGAGAAACCTCCTATTGAATGGTTGCTTACGGTAGTCCAAGTTACTCCCCAAACAATATAGATTATTGACACAGCCCTTGGTTGCCTCTCAGGGTTGAGGGTGAGGCCTTAGTGATGAAGACCCAGCACACATAGGACACAAGACTCGAATGATTCAACCTTGACTGACCTGATAGCCTCTTTCTGACAACCTAGCTTCTGTGTTTCCAGAAAATACTGTGCAAGTTGCCAAGGGAGGGACGCCATTAAACAGTTCTGCTCAGGCACAACACCTGTGAGCCACGGCAATGGCCAGCATGGAGAGACGTCCACAAAAGTACAGTAAATAGCACTCGTGTGTAATTGGACTGATGGCCCACTCAACAGGAGAGATATCAGGCCTGGTGCTGGAAACCTAGCCGGCTTCCTGGGGCGAGTGAGGTGATGGACCTTAAAAAAGAATCTACTACTGCCATATATACTAGCAAAGTACACTGCTCTAATGTCACACCGTGCTCTAAATCTCATCCTTCTACCCACAGATGAGTGCAGTTCCCACCCTTACCAAAGAAGCTTTCCTTTACTGAAGGTGGAGACCCACACAGGGGACTGGATACAATGCAGGGATGAGCCAGTCATGGGGCTCCCAGCCCCCAGTGGTTAAATCCCCGTCACAGCTCCTGCACCTAAAGCTCAGGGGACACTGTGGAAGAGGTGGTGGACAGATTTTCAGAGCGGGAGTACCAGGGAGTCGGCTGTGAAGGTCTCCCCTAGAAACGGCTGCATAGACAAGAGCTGAACAATGGGTACAGAAATGGACACGTTAGCAGGGAGGAGGGAGGATTCTGAGAGGTCATGCCACTCGATAAAGAACTACAGGAAACCAATGTCTGCCTGAAGAATGAGAATTAGCTTCCAATGTAGAGGAGTCAGCCCTGAGACCATAGACACAAATGAAAATGAACTTAGCAGTTTTATTTATATATTTGTGTATACACACACACACACACACACACACACACACACACACACATCAATAATAATACAAGAAAAAGAGGCCATCAGCCTGATGGGGGCATGAGGAGAGTTGGAGGGATGGTGTAGTGGGAGTTGGGGTTTCTTTAAAAACTCAGTTATGTCATGTAAACATGTTTTCGCTCTAATCCCAGGTGTGAGCTATGGAGCTGTTTTAGATGGTCCACAGCAACAGACAGTTTGCCTCGTGTGGGCTCTGAGAGGGGCGTGATCTTGGCCAGCTGCAGATAGTTTAGTCGAGGGGACTCAGAGAGGGAATAATTGCCAGAGCCTAGAGAGGGGGACTGGGGCTTTGAGGAAGAAAAAGGCGGCTCTTGCTCCTGGTTGCTGTTGTTGCTGTTTGACGAGAAGTTGGAGGCATCCTGAAACGAAGATGGAACGTGCCCCAAAGAAATACATCCCTAAACAGCAGGAAGTAGTCTAAAGAGACAAACGCTGCCCCTTTCCCCTGGCTAGTTTTATGTCAACTTGACACAAGCTAAAGTCATCTGAGAGGAAGGAACCCAATTAAGAAAATGCCTCCACAAGAACAGGCTATAGGCAAACCTGGAGGCCATTTTCTTAGTGATTCATGGGGAGGGGCCAGCCCATTATGGGTGGTGCCATTCTGGGCCTGGTGGTCCAGGGTTCTGTAGGAAAGCAGGCTGAGCAAGCCATGAGGAGCAAGCCAGTAAGCAGCGCCCTCCATGGCCTCTGCATCAGCTGCTGCCTCCAGGTTCCTGCCCTGTTTGAGTGTCTTTCCTGACTTCTTTGGATGATGAACTTTTGATTTGGAAGCTGAATAAATCCTTTCCTCCCCAAATTGCTTTGGTCATGGTGTTTCGTCTCAGCAATAGAAACCCTAAGGCAGTGGTTGACAGGTATCTAAGGCTGAGCAAGCAGACCCTTTCTCAGGGAAGTTGAATTTGAGAGTGACCTAGCGCACAGGCCTAGACCAGAAAGATGTGGAGGAATGTTATGTATGGATGTAGCAGCTGTCAATAAAGAGCTGATTGGCCAATTAACGGGGCAGAAAAACAGGAAGTGGAAGGCGGGACTTTCTGGTAGGGAGACAGGAACTCTGGAAAAGGAAAGGAGCGGTTCCACGAGGAGTCACAAGGAAGACAGACGTGTTTGTGGACAGTGAGAGGATAGTTATGTGGCTGGGTTAGTTTAGTGAGATAGTTTAGAGTCTGCCCAGGCCTAAGTTTGGGAAATTTAAAAGGTCTTGGGGCCTTTATTTTTATAGTTTAAAGGCAGCCCTGGGGCGTAGGGTTTGTGTTGTTTTTTACTTCACCAGTAGATACAGCCCGTCACCAACGGAAAGACACGTGTAGGAAAAGTGGGCGGATGGCTGTTTCCTCACACGATTTCCGTGGAGCCATTCCCAGGCGCGTCTTCCCTCTTTGCCTGCTCCTTTCCAGGCTCCTCTTGTCTCTGTGTGCCTTCTAAGTGATGTTCTCTGAGGCTAAGTAGGGCACACCGTCCTTGTAGGGTTTCTGTTGCCTCGATACTACACCGTGACCAAAAGCAACTTGGGGAGGAGAGGGTTTATTTCCTCTTATAACTCAGATCACACTCTGTCACTGAGGGAAGTCAGGACAGGAATGCCAGGCAGGAACCTGGAAGCCATGGAGGAACATTGCTCATTTGCTTGCTCCCCAGGACTTGGTCAACCTGCTTTCTTATGCTACCCAGGACCGCCTTCCCGGGAGTGGCATCATGCCTGGTCAGCTAGGCCCTCACATCAGTCATCAGTCAAGAAAATGCACGACGGACTTGCCTTTGGGCAGCTTTTAATGGGACATTTTCTCCATTTAGAATTCCTCTTTCCAAGTGACTCTAGTTTGTGTCCTGTTGACATTAAAAAAAAAAAAAAAACCAAAAACTAAGGACAATCTTCTGCTCATGTCTCCGTTCTTTCTAGGCACTTTAACACATGTTCAGTATTTGAACTATTCTCCATCCTCAATGACTCTCACTTTTAATAGCAAAAACACAGACATCTCATTGTGACTCCAGATCTTGGTATTCTGAAGATCCTTCATCTCCCCACTAACCCCAATTCCCAGCCTCCATCTCTTCATCTTCAAATCACATCCTTGTTAAGAGACTTTGCAAGGCTGACTGGACTGATCAGAACTTTGTGACGGTGGAGAGTTAGAATGGATTTAAAATAAAATTAGTTTAGTTTTTCTTTTTTCTGTTGAGTTTCCCAGTAGTGTGGCCTTTGGCTGTGCTGCAACTCACTGTTGAAGACCAGGCAGGCCTCAAACTTGCAGAGATTCACCCGCCTCTGCCTCCGAACTGTTGGGATGAAAGGCAGGCACCACCATGTCCAGCTTTGGGCAGTTTTTAGTTCACTTAATTCTTCACAGTATCTGACCTAACATTCTTTCAACTACCAAGCAAACCCATTGTAACTAAAGAGACTCTTAGCTGATGGACCAGGCTAACTCTATTTTAAGATTAGAAGCCATCTAGTTACAAAGTCAAAACAAGTCCACTCCTGCTCTCTGTAAAAAGTTTGATCATGTCTTGACCCATTTTCTGGAATTTGACTCACTCCCTGGCTCTACCCTGACATTCACCCTGATAAACCAAATAATTCTGAGATATTCTGCCAAGTTCCTATGTAACCAACATCTGAAAATCTCCTAACTCTTGGAAACTCCAAGCTTTGCAGTTTGGGGGCTATAAAAATCCCACTTCTCCTATGTATGGGGTGGACTTCTCCAATCCTGCATTTACAGGTTGTGCACATATAATAAAGCTTGCTATAAATTTGGCTAGCGGTCTTTACTCTCATGTGGTGGGATTAACACTAGCTTCCACAAACCTAAAAGCCAAGAATGTCATCTGATAATAGTTACAGATTCCCCCACTTCACTGTAACCTATCCACCTGACGTTCCAATATCATTGGGAAAGGCCTTAACTCCAGACTCTTATTCTTTGCTTATGAAAGTTCACAAAAGCGCTTACACACTGGAATGTATTGCTCAAGACAGACTACCTGAATCCTCGTTGCTGGGTTGTGGTCACTTACACTGGCTCAGAATGAGTAATTCCTCATCCCTTTTCAGGCAACGGCTGTATCTTGCACTCACAGTGTTCTCCGGCATTGGATATTTCTGCTGGAGATTTTAAACTTGCCTCATCCATGTGACTGTGATGTTCCCATCGACCTGCCTCCTCCCTCTATTCTCTGGTTTAGAGAAGCCACTGTCTTTGAGCCAAAACCTTCAGTCTGTTCTTGAAGTTTACTCCCATTATCCTCTAATCTCATCAAATCTTAGCTCTCCCAAATGTCTCCATCTACCCTGGTCTCTTTTAGGGCATTTTCTGTCCCCCACCTCCCTTTCCACAGGTGTTAATAGTATATATAATTACATATAATAATGAGCTTCATTATGACATTTTCACACTTGTGTAATGTTTTGGTTTTTTTGAGACAGGCTTTCGCTGTGTAGTGCTGGCTCTCCTGGCACTCACTAGAGAGACCAGGCTGGCTTTGAACTCACAAAGAGACACCCAAGGGCAGGAACTGAAGAGGTAAGCCACCAAATCCAGTTACACAGTGTGTTTCGGCATTTACCTTCCCCACTTCTGCTCAAAACTGCTGAGCAGTTTTCCCTCCCTCACCAACCCCTTCTTCTTTCCAACCACTCCCATTGGCCTCTTATTTTATTCTACTTTTATTTACAATTCCAATGATATCCAGTGTGTTCAATCAGTTGCTTATATTTCTGTCATTTTCATCCTTCCCTCCCGCCTCACCAAACTCTAAGACACAGGCTGGGAGCAGCTCAGCAGGGCTGTGCCTTCACAGTGAATTCCGTGCGCCTTAGCTCAGGGGTTGCTTGTCTTCCGGGACACCAGGACAAAGTGGTAATGTACCTGGCTTCTCCTCAGACGTACTGGAGACCATCCCTATGGCACAGACTTTGAAAACAACCCAGAACCCCCGAACCCCTACATCGGCAACACCCAGTGTCCCCATCCCTTTTCCCTGGGGAGTGATTAGCAGTTCGGAGTGAGTTAATAGGCCCAATCCAGTGGATTCTGGGGTGACTTGTGTGGGCAAATGGATGAGGGCTGACTACATAAAGCTAACAATGCAGTGTGCTCAGAGAGCGCACTGGACTTCTGGTGTTTCAGATGAGGATGAGATGAGAACTGTAACTCAACCCCCCACTGTCCAAAGCAGAAGAAAAAAAAAAAAGACCTTGTGAAAATTCTCTGTAGATGCCAAAAATGACAAATGTAGCAAACTACTGTCCTAGTTTGCTCTTCTATTGCTATGAAAAAACACTGATGTGGAGAAATTGGTAGGAGCAGAGAAAGGGGAACCTGTATTTAATTACATTGCATGAAAAATGAATGTTTAATAAAAGGGAAAATAATTTCTTTTTCTTTTTTTTCCTTACGAACTAAAATACTCCCCACCCCAACAAAAACACTAACCAAAACCAACTTGGGAAAGGAAAGGGCTTGTTTTAGTTTTACGGGAAAGTGAAGGCTGGAGCTGAAGCAGAGGCCACAGAGGAAAACTACTTGCTCCTCGGCTTGTTCAGCCTTTCTTACGCAATCCAGACCACCCGCCCAGAAGTGACACCACCCACAGTGCGCCAGACCCTCCCACGTCAATCATTAATCAAGATAGTGCCCCAGGGGCCGGTCTGATGGAGGCACTTCCTCCGCTGAGGCTCTCTTTCCCCAGGTAACGGGTTTGTACAAGGCACCTTCAGGCGCCTCAGTATGGACCGGAAGCATTCATACATCCCGTGTACTTTTGTAGTGTGCCTCTTGGGGGGCCAGAGTGCGGATCCTGGGATGGGGGGGAGGGGGAGGTGAACAGGACGCAGCCTTCCCTTCTGGCCTGGGCACAGCAAGCTTGTCTGCGAGCACCTAACGAAGGAACGGCGCGCCTCTGCACTGCCGCACCCTTCCCTGCGGCGCGTGGGCCAGCGCCTCCCCTCCTCGGTGTTTACCGTCTGCCCTTTCCTCTCCCTGAAGGCCCCCCGAGGGCAGGAACTTTGCTCACCGCTAGGCTGCCGTGCGTGAAACGATCCCTAGAGCGCAGCAGCCGCTCAGCAAGAGTCACTGGATCAATGCAGGGAGGGTGGCGCAGCAATAGGGGGGCCGTGGGGGAGACAGTGGGGTCTCCCCATTAATCCACAGAGCCTGCGACCCCCTGGGCTCCGGATTCCCCTGCTGTCGGTGCGTGTCATGTGCCTGTCCCCTGCCTCTAAATCTTACCACAAGGAGAAAGCCCACCAGGTACCCGAGAATGCCGGGATGTCCCCAAGGGTAAACTAGCCACTCAAGGGTACCTTCTTTGGGAAAATACCTTTAAATTGTGAGGAAGAGAGTTTTTAAAAACGCTCTTCTTGCTGAATTTAGTGGTGCATGCCTCTATCAGCAGAGGTAGGCAGACATCTGTGAATTCGGGGCTAGCCGGTGTGCACAGTGAGTTCTAAGACAGCCAGAGCTACATAGCGAGATCCTGTCCTGGACAATAAATTGAAAATGCTGTGCTCATAATTCATGAGGACCTAGGACCCCTCTTCTCTCTGTGGGTGGCCTGGCTCTCCCCGCTTTCCCTTGGGTTCCAGGGAGTCTTAGCTTTCATCTTCCAATCACTGTGACCACCCTCTATCAATGCAGGTATGGAGTTCGGCAAAGGGGGAGCATTGGGGATGCATCGCCCTGCGGGTGGCTCTTGGGACCAGGGGAGAACGTTTAAACTGATCCTGTGGGCGGATTAGCATTTTGGTCAAGGCGCACTGTTACCGGAGTTATTAGATAAAAGAGGCTTCGGTCCAGTCGGTTAACATCTGAATCTAGGATGCCTTCAAATAGTCATGAAAACGCCATCTGGAGGGCTTACATTCTTAACACTTATTTATATTTATTTAGCATACGTGTGTGTGTGTGTGTGTGTGTGTACCTGTGGTCAAAGGACAACTTGGAGGAGTTGGTTCCCTCCTTCCATCACGTGGGCTCCAGGAATTACACGTAGGTTGTCGGACTGGTGGGAAGTGCCTTCATCGGCTGAGCAATCTCATTGGCTCAGGGCTTGTTGTGTTATTGTAGGTTTAAGATTTTAATCTTATTTCACGTGTGTGCTCATCTGCCCTGCATGTATGTGTATGCATCATGTCTGCCTGGCGCTGGAGGAGGCCAGAAGAGGGCACTGGATCCCTAGAACTGAGGTCACAAGATAGGTGTGAGCTGCCATGTGGGTACTGGGAACTGAGCCTGGGTCTTCTGGAAGAACAGCCAGTGCTCTCCCCTGCTGAGCCCTCTCCCCAGTGCTCTCCCCTGATGAGCCATCTCCCTGGTGCTCCCGTGCGGTCCATGTTACCAAACTGAGCCATGTGCACTTTCCCTCACGGCTCTTGCACAGAACCTTACCAAGTTCCTTGGAGCTGAGACCCAAGGCTTGCCATTCCTTCAGAATCAATTCCTTGCTTGCTTCTCCACCTCGCCACACCCTTCTCTGCTCCCTGGCAACCCCTGCTCACATACTTTACCATTTGCGTCTACAAACACCCGTTACCCTGTCTGTCTGCTAAGAAACCCAGAATCCTGTGTGCTACCCTTGCTCCACAGTAGAAACTGTGGAAGTCCTGCTTTCCCTGCACTGCTCCGTATCAAGTTGCCTTGGTATCTGCCACAGAGCCCCAGCACCTAGTACACATATCTTTCTCATTTGGCCGATGCTCTTCCCATTTGCCAATCCTTGGGAGACTCACCTCTTCATTTATGGGACTTCTTTGTGTCTAGAAGACGGCACAGCAGGACCTCTCTTCTCCTGGCTCCCACTTTATCTGCTCCAAGCTCCTCCAAATAATTCTACAGTGCAGCTTGCCCGTGAGATAAGTGTTAGCTGGTCTCCAAGGTAACAGACTGCACCACGGCAGCTTGGGGCAGGGAAAGGCAATGAGCTTTCTCACCCCGAGGAAGAAGAGGCTCCTAGGCTGCTGTAAGCCCCACTGCCAGGTTAAGCTGCATTTCTGCCCCTCTATAAAGGCGGGGCATGACCTGCTTTTCTACTCTTTGAACCTCTGGGTCAACCCAGTCTATGGTTTAGGCCAGTAGAACCCTGCTGCCTGCTGCCTTCTATTGGTTAGAATGGAGGAAAGACACAAGGGAAGCCCAAGAGCCTTCGTCTTCAGTTCCCCAGAGAACGGGGAACCAGCCCCAGGAGAAGGACCTGGTAGCCTCCACCTGCACCAGGCCCAGCCCCACCTGGAGTCAGCAGGTCCGTGACTCCTCAGAAAGGTGCTACTGAGGTTATTCACTCCAGCGGTTCCAGGGGACTCACAGGAATCACCTATGTTGTCCAATCTCATTTAAAACAATGGCCCAGAACTATGCTACCATGTAGCAACAGGATCCTTTAACAACAGCCCAAGTGACTGTGATGTAACCAGCACTTGACACAGTTTCAGACTCCTCTGAATCCTTCTTCAGAGGCTGAGGAAATGAGGGGATCCAGCCAGGGGCCACCACCAAGTAAGTGGCTAAGCTCTTCTGATCCCAGCCATTCTTAAGTTGGTTTTTCTTTTCTGGAACGTTTTGCCCAAGAAGCCGGAACTGCCGAGACTTACAGACTTTTTTTTCAGGTGTTCATTCCAGCCAGATCAGAAACAAACTTCCCAACGGAGAGTGCTAAGAAAGTGTTCAGGTACTCTGGGCGGCAAACACCCTATGTAAATTCAGCACTATGCTACATGCTAACAAGGCAATCGAGGGGCAGGCCAGAAAGAAGTGAGGGGACCATAGGGCCATGAGCATAGGTGAGAGGGCCCATGTGCCCACCTTGGGGGAAATCCTAGCGGGGAGGCCACAGATACAGAATTTCAAGGCCAGCTTGTACACAGTGAGACCTTGTATACAAGGGGGTTGAGGGTCCTGGATGGAGGCTGGCTAATTTGTCGGCATTGTTTTTTGAAACACAAGGGACCCAGACAAGTAAGTTACCTCCTCCTCCTATTTCCTTTGCTTTTGACTCTTTTTTTTACATTTAAGGAAAATCCAAACACTGGGAACTCCTGGTGCTTTCTTTCACTTGAGCTCAGGCAGCACATTCTGGATACACCTATGCTATAAAGAAAGTTAAGGAAGGTTTAAGAGACCGAACAGAGAAAGCTGTGAGTGAGTACCACCCCCCCCCCCCTTAAAGACAGGCTCTGGATGTTCAGCCACTAAGGCATGGACATTTTTGCCTCAGTCTCCCAATTGTTGGGGCTGTTAAGAACAAGCCACCACAAGCAGCCATCTTTTATAGCTCTCTTTAGAATGTGGCTCTTGTCAGGCATCAAAGCACAGCAGGAATGTGTGTCTGTTTTCTTTTCCTTTTTGCTTTGTTTTTTGAGACAGAGTTTTTCTTGCTGCCCTGGAACAAACTCTGTAGAGCAGGCTGGCCTCCAGAGATCCACTGGCCTCAGCCTCCCAAGTGTTGGGATTAAAGGTGTACACCATTGCCTTGGTAGGTGTGTCTGTTCTTCCGGAGCTGGTCAGGGTTCGTTCATCCATCTCTGATCTTTCTTTTAGGAGCTCTTACCTGGTAACATTATCCCCATTCTATGGTGGGATATATTTTTGAGAGATTGATTTGTACTTCCTTTACTTCAGACTCAAGAACAAGGTGCTTCTTGTGGGGTTAAGAAGCAGCATGAAGTCAATTGTTTTTAAATTGCTGACTAAAAGAGTGACTTGCTGAAGGAAGAGGAAGAATGTGTTTAATGTCCAGGGGATGATGGGAACGTATAGGCTCCTTTTAATTAAAAGAGACAGAAATTAATTCAAACTGGCTTGAAGTGGGGGAGGAGGTTTGCTTAAGTAACACAAATGTCCAGGCAGTTCTGGCTTCAGCTAACATGATGTTAAGAAAATGGTCTCCATGTCTCAGCTCCCTTTCTTCTGTGATGGCTCGATTCTCTCAGGCCAAGGCTCCTCGGGTTTGGCAGGAAAATCTGGACACAGTGGAACAAAGTTCTCCCCCTACCCCCACCCTGGCCACAGGGACAGAGCTTTCCTCCAAGGAGCTCCAGCTAAGTCCTAAGCTTGGCTCCTTGGTCATATGCCACCGCACTTCCTGAACCAATGGTGTGGCTCTGATTGTATGAGTTGCTGTCTAGCTCTGCAGCCAGGTAGGATCAGCTGTGAAGTCACATGATCTGAAGAAAGGGGCTGTTTTCCAAAGTTTTGCTTTTTGCCTTTGGCTGTGGTTTATGCATGCAGCTGGAGCCTTAGAAACCAATTCGTGGTCTTATCAGTTTCACCAATTAAGGGTACCAGCACTGTAAGATACCATGAATAGTGACTGCAAAGAGAGACCTTGACAAGAGAGAAATCCTGAGAGATTGAAGGCAATTTGAGTGTATCATTCCATTTTTTTTCCTCAAACAAAGTAGACAGTATTCACTGGGTGCTGTTAATAAGGAACAGCTTTTAGACAGGGGTCGGCGTTTATGGTTCTCCACCTTCTGCATCCAGCTACAAACCATAGATTTAGCTTCTAATGCTGGAGCCAAGGAAATCATGCAAGTGGGACAAGCTATTTTTATTTCGTTTAGACTAGCCAAACTGGCAATGGGAGACAGCAGGAGGCCTAAATCTGAAGTCAGGGAACTTGGGTTTGAAACCCAGATTTACACCAATTACTACTTACAAAGCCTGGACAGCTTTCATTGTTCCGGCCCTCAGTTTTCAGCCTCTAGAGCCTCTTCTCCTTCTGCACAGGAAGAGGGCAAAGATGACACAGAAAAGCACAGACCACATGATTTAATGTTACTTTCTTCTCCTAAACATACTGAATAACATTATTATTCACCCACAGGACCCTACAAAATACAAACTGCCTTAATAAACTGGTTGACTGCAAAATATTGTTATTTGGTAAGTTTTTTTGTAATCTGAATTTACAGCAGCATTCTTTGTAAGAACAAAAGATAACACGAAACGCCTCACATCCTCCTCCATAAATCCCTCATTGAAAAATGATGTGCCTACATAGATATTATTTTTAAGATGGAATTCCACCTAAAAAAGTCTTGGCATGTGTGTGTATATATAAAATATCACTCCTTTTGTTAAGCTAAACAACTGTACAATGCCTGTTGGAATACCCAATAAGTCACAAGGCTCTACTTTTACAATAGTGAATATTATCTGTGAGAAAGAAAATCCCTTTATCTCAGCAGAGTAATTGTGGGCAGTTGATGGCTGTGGGGGGTGGGCAGCCACTTTTCATCATGGTGTGGTTGCTGGTATGCTGCCCTTGTGCTGAAGGCAGCATTGAGTGGATCGGAGGGGCTGTTGAGAACAATTTACAAAGGAGATGTGAAGGTAGAAGGTGTACATGTCTGGAGGGGTGTGGGAGAGGGAGATGGGTCAGAAGTGGATAGGGTCCAGATACCTGTATGTAAGAAGTTATCAAAGAATAACTAAAAACAAACTTTTTTTCTTAAAAGAATACCCAATGTTATTAACAGTAGTTCTTGGGATGGTAAGGTTATCAATGGGCACTTATCATGTTCAATACTCCCAGACTTAAAAAAAAAAAAAGTATTTTTCTTTATGAGTATGTGTGTGCCTGCGAGTAAGTGCTGTGTCCTGTGCCCATGGAGGCCAGGGGAGGGCACTGGACCTCTTGAAGCTGAAATGGCGGCCATGTGAGCTGCCTGACCTGGGTGCTGGGAACCAGAGAGTCCCCTGCGAAAGCAGTCAGTACTCTTAACCACTGCCACGTTGGGTTTTAACACCCACACATACACACTGTCGTTAAAAAGAAAATCCTTTTACATCAGCCTTGACTTGTGAAAACTGCCTTCACAACAGACCCTTGGGACAAGAGAGGTAGCTGATGGCCCGGGCAGTGGTGTGAAGATTGGCAAGCGCAAACCTGCACTCCAAGTTGCTACTCACGAGCCACATTATCCGTCAAGGGTGTAGAAGGTGACCTGGTCAAATCTCTGTTTCACGTGCAGGGCAACTCTTAGCCCAGGACAGTTGTGGATAACCAAAAAGACCTTTGGTGCTTCAACTGCATTTGAAAAAGAAAAAAAAAAAAAAAAAAAAAACCACGGCAAAGAAAGAGGAGAGAGCTGCTTTAATGGACGAACAGATTGTCTTAAACAATTAATGCCAAATATCTAAGCAATGTGAAAACGTGCCAGAGAAAAGGACACTGTCTTTACTTTACTGGAAAAAGGCCCTAATCCGTATATTGAAGTAACAATGGCAGCTGAACTGCTTTTTCTGTTGCTGTGATAAACACAATGACTACAGCAGCTCATAGAGGGAAAGGTTTATTTGTGTACCGGCTCTGGAGAGGTAAGCATCAGTCAGTCATGGCGGGGAGGCACGGCAGCAGGCGTGGCGGCTGGAGTAGAAGCTGAGGTCTCACATCCTGAACTGCAAGCATGGAGCAGAGAGCTGGGAAAAGGCTCGGCTTTGAAACCCCAACCCCTCCCCTCCTCCATGCCATACCTTCTCCACAAGGTGACACCTCTTCTTAAAGCTCCCCAGACAGCCACCAACTAGAAACCACGTATTCAATGAGACCATGGGGGGCTCATTCTCGAGTGAAGGTGAGCCAAGAGTGAAGTGGGAGAGCAGGGACTCTGCCTTACAGACACTGCTAACATCAGCCTAGAGGCAAGGTCTCTGAACATACAAGACTGTTTTGTTTGTTCTGGGACAGGCTGGCCTAAACTTCTATGTAGCTGAAGATTACCTTGAGCTTCTGCCTCAAGCCTCTGAACGCTAGAATTACGGCCAAGTGCCACCTGGTTTTCTCAGTGCTGGGGACAGAACACAGGGCCTGGTGCACACTCTACCAAATTACTTCTTGAGCAAGAGAGCTACATCCCTAGAAATAAACACTTAAATCAAAGCTTATTAAAAGTAAGAGAAGCCTTTTTAGTTTCTTTAGTAGACAATTTATTTTGATAAACTTGCTCAATAACAAAAATACAAGTGAAGAAAATTATGTTCACTTTATACAGTCGTATTAACAATTTGTTTTGAAACTATTAATTGAAAAATGTTATAACCAATTAGAAAACAATTCTTAATAAAGTTTGGGATAATATACAGACCTTGACCACAAACGAAAACCTCTCAAGGCAATACAACTACAATCTCTGTATAGGCAATTCTACCTACACAGACCACCTTTTTCCTTCATATTTTTTTATCCTTCAAAAATTTTCTGAAAGACAGCTTACTGTTTTATGAGTGTAAATTTAATTTTTAAAAGAAAATCAAAATGGGTTGATAAAACAGTTACTATAACCAGAGTAACTGGTGACTAGTAGTCTTTTAATAAAGACAAAATAAATGCAACATGTTCTTCTCACGAAGCCCATGAGGCAAAATAATAGCTAAGAACAGATCCAAAGTTAGTTTTCAACACTTTTTCAGGACCTTTCCTCTAAATCAATAGATTGCCTGTCACCAGGACTATTTGTTACTTCACTGAAGAGATTAAACTGAACTCACAGAACACCACATGGAGAAATAAAAGCTGTAGGTAAAAGGATAAGAACCAATAATGTGTTTTGGTCATCTAGAACATTACAAATGGAAAAAAAAAAAAAGGCATCCTTCAAAAACAAAACAGATGGAACAGAAAATAGGTTTGTGAGAGATGGAAGAGTCAGAAACATCACACCCACACACTAACAACACAGAACATGGATTACCTTTGGAAAGAATTGTACTGAAATGGTTGCTTTTAATGAATTGAAGATTTTTATCTTTACAGATGTTTAGGCTTGTTCAATAGGAGCTTCTCAAAAACTCAAACTAATTCAGTCTTGTGCAAATAAAACCTAAAAATAGTTTTCAGCAGATTTTACAGTGATATTCTTAGGCATGAGAAGAATGTACACTCTAAGAACAATGTAACAGACAAAAATCTGACAAATGATTGCACCATAAAAGTGTCTTATATACATTTTACAAGATATGATTCCTGCTATAAATTAATACTGTGCTATGTGGTACTCATATGACCTTTCCCAGCAGCTGCTGGCAGCTGGTTGTCCTTCCACTTACGGGACTAGACTGCAGGAGTCCACGTCAACAACGTTTGGTCTGGAGAGTTTACAGAGACTGGACTTCACACACTACTTGATGGGATGGTTTTAATCCTGGGTTAGAGCGCTGAGTGGCTGGAGGGACTTTCTCCCACCAGCTCTTCATGCACTGGTCCTCAAGGACAACGATGAAATTAAAGACAATTGAATGGTTTGGGTAATAGATACAAATAAAACCTAAAATTTTGTAATCATATATGCAATACCACTGTGAGAGAAGTAAACAGCGGGGAAATTCATAGCAGCTGAGAAACTTTCTCTCCCCATGCTCATGATCCAGTTAAAAATATCTTGAGAAACTATTTACAATAAAATCCATCTTTTGAAAGAGAAAAGCTCTTGGTCATGTCAGTTAATTTGAACTATACTTTGCTAATACTTTATACCAGTGGTACGCCGACTGCCACACCTTTCCTTCAAGTGGCTGAGGACTAATCAGAGCACAATCCCAAATGTCCACAGGACATGACTAGTGGTGGCCTTAGAACTGACTGGATATAATATTTGGTGAAAAATGTCCTTCGATTTACTGCAGGTTTCTCACACAGAAGGGTCCACTTCTCCAAGGTTCCTGTGTGAGCCCAAACACTGGATTTTCATTCACAATTTAACACTGAGACAGGTGACTAGCAAACAGGCTGGTGGGGTGTATCTGAGCAGGTAGCCCCGTCTCTGAATAACCATCCTGTGAGGAATAATCAAGCTTCTTAGAGATCATCCCTGCTTGTATGAAGCACAGGCTACATGGGACTCAACATGGACATTTGGATTGCCATTCACGAGAGAAAGGACAAATTCAGCTCCGCTGCCATGAAGCATCCCCATGACCAACTTCAAATGGGACTATATAGTGTTCACCAGGAAAATCTAGGCGTTGACATAGGGATGGGGATTTGGAGAGGAAAGGGCTATTTAAAAGCACTCGTGAGTTCAGGATCAGCTGCACTGAGTGTCAGCTTTTCAGCAAAGGTGTAAAGCGTATAAAGGAAATACTGTATTGCTCAAGAGTCTGGTAAAAATATACTAAATAATGCTTACAGATAAAATGCAGTTAGTGTTGTAAATAGTGTTGTAAAACTAGTGTTGTAAATAGCCAACCAGCGGATATCTGCACGCGAACTTGATGTTTATGAGAAGTTGTGTGCGTGAACATACAGGACGCATTGTTACCGCAGCAGGCTGAGGCAGCGGGGAAAATGAATGTTTGTACAATAGAGGATAGTTGCCGTTCACTTCCACAGTGTCAGATCCCCAAACTATAAGGTTTGACATGACCTTCACTTCACTATCACACACAAATAAATTAAACCTAGAAAGGATCTTTAGCTTAACTTAAAATTGCACCTAGAAAGGTATGGAGTTATTTGTACCTATTACAGAAACCTGCCAAAATCAAGGGCTGCTACAAAGAATGAGGTAAGCTGAAGACTCTCTCCACTACGCAGCCTTCAGATAAATGGCTTTTTTTCTATTGAGTTCTAGGTTGCACACCACAGTGTTTTGCTAGCAAGCACTCAGAGTTCTCTTCCAGGAACTGTTTGCATGTGTGCATATACAAATGTATACACACATACTCACACACACATATACACACTGTATACTGCATCAGCAAAATATATATATTATATATATATTTATATAAATATAAGGAAGATTTCCCCCACCCACCCCAGGCTTGTTTCTTAGTGTTTGCCTTTTTCTTTTGTACACAGAGATTAGGGAGTTTTAGAATTCTTACATACATTTTAGCAAACGAGTTTGGATCTATTGGCTTCTCGGTGCAGTAATGCAATGGCGATCCATTGTGGCGCCAAAGGCTCATGACATGACGAGGAAGCTGAGAACACTAACATCTTAGGTGAGGCCAGCCTCACACGAACCTCCTGCACCCCTCTGGTCCATCATGATTCATAAATACTAGACGGCCCCCCCTCAAAAATGAACCATTAGACATTAAAAACAGATCAACAGAGTCACAAGGGGCCACATGCTTTCAGGATAAAGCACTCTCCTTCACTAGGTTGCTATCACAGTGCAGACTGCCTGCCTGAATATGCTCAGGAGATTTAGTCAATATTGTATTTGGTTATGGAAAAGGCTCTCATTCTTTTTTTGTTTTGTTTTTTAAATCCAAAGTGCATAGTGAGAACAAATCAAAGCATTTTTTTCCTTTCAGCATCAGGTTCATCTAAGCATCTTCCTATGAGAGGATTGCCCAGATGCCTTCTCTTTGTCCTCCCAACCTCTAAAAATAAAAAAATAAAATAAAATAAAATAAGAGTTAAGCCGCTTAGACATTCGTCAGCCTGGTAAACAGACTTTGCCAGCAAACAGAAGTCCTACTATTGTGAAGAAAATCGATAAGACAAAAAGTACATATGATGACCCAACTACTGTGTTGTTGGGTAATTTATAAGGTTGACCTCCGACTTCATTGATGTAAAATCCTATTGGAAATATTAGGGCAGCCATACAGAAAAGGATCACTGTAAAACAAACCAAAACACAACATTAGTAACATGCTTTGGTGATGAGAAAAAAGCAACAATGAAAATTTGGTACAAAGCAATTTTTATGAGGGTTTGTGGATTGATAATAAGGTCAAACCTGTGAAAACATGGCCCGACCCGTCAAAAGACTTGCACACGCTACAGGTCACACAATAGCCCTGAGGCCCAGCAGACCAAACAGAGGAAAGTGAAAGCTGGGGTTACTCTTCTTTATATAAGTTTTTAGAGGATTTTGAATTATGAACATTAAGGTGAGTGTATGTGTCTGTCTGTCTGTCTTAACCATTTAGTAACTAAAGGCAGAGTTCGAGATGAAGTTCCGGCCCTGTCTGACTGCTGTAATCATTTATAATGATGGGCAGAGTTAAGGGAGAAGTTTGGGCCTGTTCCCCTCCTTAAAATAGGAGAAATACTAAAACGTTAGGTAAAACATGTCAAGTCCCTAGCAAAGTGTCAGGCTGACAGAAGTGCCAAGCAGATGCTGTCACTATTACATCACAGCTGTCACTGCCAGTCCTCCTCACAGCAGGAGTGGGCACCTAGGAAAAAGGGGCATAAAAACGAGTACTATTTCTCTTCCTCTGATTGTCAGCCAGCTGGAGAGAGATCGTCAGATCTCTGGGATGCTGAGCAAACTGCCAGAGGGGTTATCTCTTGGACAATGGTCCAGAACATCCCTGTCAGGTTTCTGAATATACACAGACAACCAAGTGAGGAAGGCTGAGAAACCTCCTTTGGGTTTTATATACAAACACAATGAAATATACTTTTCACTAAAATGTTTCTAGAAAGATTACCAGAAAACCCAGTGTTTGGGCAGAAGTAATGTTTGTCTGACCATTTACCAAATAGTATATTGTCCATGTTACCAAAGAAATGCTTTTCCCAGTAAACATCAGTTATCCACAGAAAGGCTAGCTTTTTTGAGAAAGAATTTTTGCTTTTTGAGGATAGGAGTCAAGTGCTCATGATCCCTTGCATTTCTTAGAATAGAAGGCGAGGTATGAAGATCTGAAACTTTCTGTGATTAACAAAATGAGAAACGTTTTCTTAGAAACATACCCCCAGGAATATCAAGAGAGCCCTGGACAAATATATCAGTTGCCAACAGTTCTAAATTTTCTGGGTGGGTCAATTAATCAGAACTTAGTGGAATCCTTTCCTGGATGGACTTCCGTAACATTAAACAGTAACATCTGCTTCCGTAATAACCACCTGCGACACGTATCAGTATTCTCTGGTGCTCTGTACCACTGCAGTACATTATTCTGTACTGTATAGACAAAAAACCCATTTCATTTTGGACAATGACTATACAAAACAATCTCATACAAGCAAAGTTAGATTCTTTGTGACACCTACAAGTGAAAACTTTAGGCGTTTAGATTTCATTGGGGTTTTAGCCGTTTTGTTGACAAGTCACCAATAAACAATTTTAGATGCGCTTTAAGCATCTACTTATCAGTGTTTGTGCATGAACTCAAAACAGCCTAACAGGAGCCATGGAGCTGAGTTCACATGTGTGTGAACCAATCCCAGCTCTTGGGAGGTACAGGCACAATCTCAACAGCATGCTGGCTTGAGCTTCCATACATAGCGAGACCTCGTGTCAGCACACACACACTGTAAACACACACAGTTGCCCACTGGGGCTAGGCTGATTCTTCAAGTATTTTCCTCTGCTGCTGTGTAGCTCAGGACACAGGGAAATAATTCAGAGGCATTTAATGGCAATTAGTAGTATTCACTTAGCAAGTACAATTAGAGTCAGTACTCTGAAGAGTAGTTTCCAAACTGATTAGGAAATGCTCAATTAAATCCTGAGGAAGCAGTGACTTCCTATTCATTATGTATTTTAAGGCCTAGGAACTTGGTTCTCTGTACTTTCTGGGGTCCAGATTTATGTAGATGGAAGAGTTTTTCTTTTTTAATAAACTTACTATAATTTATTATGATAATTTATAATGTATTTATGTGCGTTTTATGTACCTTGGTGTTCTGCCTGCATGTATGTCAGTGTGAGGGTGACAGATCGAAAACTGGAATTACAGGTCAGTTGTGAGCTGCCATGTGGGTGCTGGGAATTGAACCCGGGTCCTTTGGAAGAATAGCTACTGCTCTTAACCACTGAGTCATTTTTCCAGCCTGAGCAGTTTTTCTTTTCAGCTATCGACAGCTGTGAAGTTAGAGAGCTGTGAAGTCAGATCTTAAACTATTTTATTAGTGTTTCCAACAGTTAACAGTTAATGTGAAGATCAAGCTCTGGTCCCAAGTAAGCTTATAAAGACAGCTTCATCTTCTCCATGGAATAGATTTCTTTGAGGTAATATGAAGTACCAGTAGCTGTAAATCAAGAGTGCTAAAAGGGGGCTAGGGAGATGGCTCAGGAGGTAAAGTATCAGCTGTGCGGGCTACAGGTGTGAGTTCAGGTCCCCAGCAGCACACAGAAAGCTGTGCATGTGCACGTGGGCAGGAGGCTGGTGGAGACAGGCTTGCTGGCCATCCAGTCCAGCAAATGGTGAGCATCCAGGTCAGTGAGAGATCTCGTCTCAGAAACTAAGGTGGAGAGTGACAGGGAGGACACCTAACACCAACTGTTGGCATCTACATGAACACGCGCGCGCGCACGCACGCGCACACACACACACACACACACACACACACACACACACACGGTAAAAGAATAGGGTCAGACTTAAAGAAAAGGACTCATCTTTGTTTCTCTTGTCCATTGCCAAGGCACATCATGCGAGGCTCTCATGACAGAGAATCTACCATTAGAAATCTCCTTTCACATTATTACAAAAACTCCTTCCCTAACTAATGAAAGAACTATATACAGCCGGGCTCTAGGAAATCTTTAAGCTTGAACCACTAGGGGGAGCTCCATTCCTCCCTGAACTGCTCCCCAGCAACCACAGAGTTAGGTAAATGTCCACTTATCTAAGTCCACTCCAACCCGTCCTAAGTTAGAGAACAAAGGACCAGAGTGGACACATCTTTACAAAGTATGTATTTTTTTTTTTTTTCTTTTTGTTTTTTTTTTTTTTTTAGAGTTTCAATGTATATAACACTATTCTTTAGAAACTTCCAAAAATAGTACGTGCCTCCAGCCAAGAGGTTCTAAGGGCTGGTGACAGGAATGAGACTTCACTTGGTTACCCATCCATAAACTTTGAGGCACTCTCATATGCAAATACAGCTTCAAAAATAAAGGATAAATACATTGCATTTTGGAGTGAACTATACATACTTAAAGCTTTTATTTATTTATCTATTTATTTATCTAGTTGTTGTTGTTGTTGAAGGGGAAGGAAAGACAAAGATAAGCCCTAGTTCTTTTCCTTTCTTGGCCCCTGTGCTCACTGTACTGCTGTCCTAGCCTCATGTAAGTTTGTTTCGTTACAGTTTAGGTCTTTGGGTACTCCTTATTTTACTCATTAATGACTGAATCATACCTCGAAAAATAACTGTGTCTGTGAGCAGAAGATACAGAATTAGATCCTCTTTCTTTAAATTCCTCATCAACATGCTTTCAGTTAGCAGCCTTGTCTCTATTACTGCTTCTGGCCCTCACTCTCTGGAAAAGAGTTGTCTCAGGTCTCTGACAAGAAAAATATCATCGGTTTGTTTCTCAATGCTTGATACGGGTGAGGAGCTGTTGCTTGCCTCGAAGGCAACTTGATATAAATTTTACTATTAAGAGAGATATGTAGATAAAAACACAGTGAGAAACAAAGTTCCACAGAAAGCTGGGAGACAGGGACCCCTGAAGGAACAGCACCACCCTGCAGCGTGTAAGGACACACCGAGTCGTTTTACTTAGATCGTCCCCTGGTAGATGGGACAGAACGTAAGGCCTCACAGACTACCAGGCAGTGCTCTGACTCAGCTACAGGTCTAGCTGAGGTAAACTGAGTTGTGAGATGGTAACAGGGATATTGGAGGTTAACCTTTACTCCAGTGATAACAGGTATAAAGAAAAACAGCAAGCTGAAGTGAGCTGTGTGCTCACTTTAGAATGTGCTCAATTTAGAAATGTGTGCAGCCTGAGCTGAGCCTAAGACACTGTGCGGAAGCCTCAGTGTCCGCACACGTCTTCATGTCTGTAGACCAGGGCCACTGCTTCTGTGCAGCGGACAGTTCTCTCTGTGGGAGGAGGTGGCAGCACTCCTGGCCAGTGTGTTTCCCGTGGTGAAAAAAGTTGCTTTAGAGACAAAGGAAGCAGAATTACAGAATGTTCTTGCATGTGTATATATTTGTTTTCCTTACACTTGGGATAAGCTTCTAAAATGTTCAGAACTTAAAGCAATTTTGCAAATTACAAGTGAATATTATATGTAATATATAAATTCATGACTCCACTGGGAATAGCTTAGTAGACTAAGAAGCCTTGATAAACAATTACTAGAAAAACTAAATGTGTTGGTTTTTCAATGGTCATTCAACCCAGCAACAACAAAAATCAACAATATTAAAGAGCAAATGATCGCCTTCATCTAAGTTATATGTTTTCCTAGATTTATCTTTATTTTGATAGAGGACACCAGTACCTTCAAAGTGGAAACCACTCAGACTAGTGGTAGCTCCGAATCACAAACCTGACACACTTATGTTACAGACAGTAAAAAGCCTCATAAAAAGAGCATTCACACAAAGCAGTGCCAGCCTCGGTGTCCTGGTCCTGCAGTGAGGATGCTGAAGAGCTGAAGGGACTGTGCGGTCTATCCCCTGCCATGTGAGTGGCGCTCCGGGAAGATTTACGAGTCCTTAGGACTGATCTTGATAATCTTCGTGAAAACGTGTGCCTTCTAGACCAACTTTAGTAAGCACAGGCTACTTACTTCCAGTGAATGCTATCCATCGAGCATATTTTGTAGCTTCTCTTCGCCAGTGGGACGCCACCAGCAAACCACATGTGACAGTCAAGGAAATGATCCCCATGATGATAAAAAACAGGGTGGTGACCCACTCTGGGGGCAGTCGGGGAGGAATGCAGGTCCGGTCTCGTCCATGGATTGTTTGACACTGTCGCACCAGGCCCACGGTGAGTGCTCCTGGGAAGATGCAAAGTGGGGAATACTTTAGTAGGTCTGGCACACTCAGGGAACAGTCCCCAGCCAAACCCCTTTCATACTTAAATCTCCTTGCTATCTGTGTGGTAATCCAAGTATTTAATTCACAAGTTCTCTTCAGCAGTCTGCTAATGTTTACAATGTGACAATGCTTGAATTAATGTAGAAAATGAACATAAGCAACAACAAGCCTCAAGAACCATAAAAGACAGACAGTTCAGTCATTTACTGAACAAATGCATTTCTTTCTGTCACGATAACCTTTCCACACAGACTGAAGGCTGCAGCCAATGCTTACCACACACAGAGTTGGCCTGCAAATGGTTTTTCAGAGTACTGTGTCAGGCACTGACTGGGCACCAGGGACACTAGCAAAGTTGCTGGCTTGGCTCCTGCTCTTCCTAAGCTTGCACACTGACAGCAAGAACTGGACGTCTCTGCTGCTGAGTTCAAGACACATTATATAGGTCTTTATTTTGGCTGAAGTATGTTTTAGGACATTAAGCACAAACTTGAAATATACCCAACAACAACAATAATAAAACAATGGAATAAACACTAAAGTGAAAGTTATCAAAGTAAAGGGTCTGATCACTATTTTTACTACTATGTAAGAGTTAATACTGTTACACCTTACTGGAATGTGTCAACAGGAAAACACAGGTTACGAAGGCAGCTGAAACAGCCGGGTACAGTGGCACCGCCTGTGACGCAGCACTCTGGGAGGTAGAGGCAGGTGGATCTCTGTGAGTGCAAGGCTAGCCTGGTCTACAAAGTGAGTACAGGATAGCCTAGGCTACACAGAGAAACCCTATCTCAAAAAAACCAAACCAACCAACCAACTAACCAACCAAACAAAAAGAAGGCAAGCTGTAAAGTACCCCTGCCCTCATTAATTTTCAAAAACGTTATTATTATTATTATTAGTATTAGTATTATTATCATCATGACTACTCCTCTGTATGGCAATGTGAGTGGCATGTGTGTGCATGTGCACGTGTGTCATGGGCACCTAGGCTAAAGGACAGCTTTGTGGAGTTGTGTTCTGGGGTGCGCATTCCTGTGGTCCAGTCTTCATGGTGGAGGCTTTCACCGTGGGCCTCCCATTTAGATAAGTGAATTGATTTCTGTGAAACACCAGGTACCATCTTTATCAAATGTGGAGTGAATTATCTTAGAGAAACCCAGATTATGAATCCAAGAGACTATGTTCTCCTTTTCTACGCAAAGAAGTAGCATTGCTCCTAAGTAAAAGCTGTCCCCTCTGCAGGAGTGACTGCACAGAGAGAGCAGCTGCCACAGCACCAGCGTAAACCTGAAGGGCTGCTGCAGCCAGCAGGTCCCTGCCTCTTTCTGGGGAGGGCATGTCTTTCCTGGCTGGCCTTTTGTTTCCCATGACCACAGTGATGGCCCCTCAGAATGGGAGCTCTAGGCAGGACCGGTGCCTTCTTGAGGACAGGCAGCAGAGCGGGGAGGGGGGCTTCAGAGCGGGGAGGGGGGCCTTGGGAAAGGTGTGCTGCACAGCTGCACCTCCCCACCAATCCAGTTTAGAAATAACGAGAGAGGAGCGCGGCTCGGGAGGCGGCTCAGTTGCTAAGAGCACACAGTGTTCTTGCAGAGCACCCACTGTAGGATGGCTCACAGCTGCCTGTGACTCTAGCTTCAAGACACACACACACACACACACACACACACACACACACCCACACCCACACACACACACACCCACACACACACACACACACACACACACGACGTATAAACTAAAAAAAAAAAAATCATAAAAAAGGAAGTAAAGTAGGTTTTGGGAGGGGGCTCACTGGGCAAAGTGATTGCCTAGCACCCACTTAAAAAAGCTGTACAAAAGAGTACCAGTCTGCAATGCTAGTGGGAGGTGGAGACCGGAGGATTCTGGTGTCTTGCTGGCCACAGCCTAGCTGAAGCTGTGAATCCTCAGTGAGATCCTGTCGAAAAACACAGATGCACCTTCCCCATACCATATGCATAATGAAAACAAAACAAAACAAAAACACTAAAAAGATTAAGGAAGAAAAAGTGAGGAAAAAGTTCTCTCAAAACTAAGTTATGGTCTCTCCTCTTCTCCAATAATTCTATCTGACTAGAACTCTGAGAAAATTAACTGCATTAAAAAAATCAAATAGTTAGGTCCATCTGATGAATCCTGCACAGGTACACGCAACACAGGCGCAATACGAGGACTGTCACAGAAGTGCAGAGGCCGAAGTGAGCAGCCCTTTAGAGTGCGGCCACCCACCATGTCCCCGGCTCCTGTGTGGAACTGAGAGACTTACTAAAAGCAGGCATCAGGGGTTTCCATGACTTCTTAAGCAGTAAAAATTTCCTCTGCATGATAATCTGAGGTACGGCAGAGCCTTACTATGAGAAAGCATTTTGTCTGTAATTCTGGAAATAAAGAAGGCATTCAGAGCAGTGGCCATGAACTCCTAACAGGAAACCACTCCTGATCATTTAGCAAAAGACTTCTAACAAACTACCTTCTTGTTGTCATGGTTCCATTTATAAAGGCTGCAACTGTCAAGATGAAACAGACCTGCACAAAACACAACACTGGATTTCTATTATCGAGACAACCTGTCTTCACAATTCATACAGAGGAAGCCTGACCCCCCACACCTATGACTGGAGATTTGCATTCAGGATTATCGACCGTGTGCTTCCAAATGCTAAAACGGTACCCGCTGCATGAGATTGTAAACTCTCTCCAATCCAGCGGGAGAATATTTCTGAGTACTCCCATGCCCCGCTTCTAACTCTCTGGTTAAGGAAGGGTGAAGACGCCCACTGTGCTGGCTGACTGTCCAGCTTTCTGAGTTAACACTTCTTTTTGTTGCCTCTCCTGTCTAGCAAACTACAGCAAGTAAATATCGACAGAACAAACAAGAAATTGAAAATGATAGCTATAAGCAAATTGGAGAAAACCTGTTGGGTGTTCAGCTATCGAGGGTTTCTGCTCCTGGATTTATGAAATTCCTTATCACACAAAGCAAGAATGAATGCTCAGCACCTCTGAAGAGAGGCAGACAGGCAAAGCAACCCAATGTTTATAACACTGTCACTCACTCTGCCCTGTTGCTGCTCTGCAAGAAAGGCCAGCTAATTTTAATTGGCCATTAGAGAGTATTGTATAAAAGAAAACTAATACCCAAATAGTTTTCTGCATTCTGGGTTTGTGGTCAGTGATGTGTACTCAAATAAATGGGGCTCCAGGTTCAATCTCTAACATTCCACAGAAAAGTACTGCAAGGCTCTCAAATGCTTAGCCCAAAACAATACTCCCATGCTTCCTCAAAGAGTGAAGGGTCAGTGTCAACAGCGGTCGGTTAATGTTGCTAGCTCTGCCCTCTGGAGTAAGATTGTAATTTGGTAACATTAATGATGCAGTCACATGTATTATATATGCTAACTGGGAAATTCTACGTAGTCAATTGCTTGGGAATTTAGACTTTGTTAATGCCCACACTTTAAACATGCCTTTAAATTTCATCTTTAATTCAAGGAGTTATCTTTGGCCCATCTTTTACTCCCTCTACAATCCATTAACTTTGCACCACACAGCTGATGTTAAAAAGTAGCTTTGAGGGTAGTGCTGGTGCTGGGTACTGAACCCAGGGATCCTTTAACCTTAGAAGTGAGAAGTAAAATTTAACAGAACACAGCTGGGCGTGGTAGCTCAAGCCTTTAGTCCCAGCACTTGGGAGGCAGAGGCACATGAATCTCTGAGGCCAGCCTAGTCTACAAAGTAAGTTCCAGGACAGTCAGGGCTAAAAGAAACCCTGCCTGGAAAAACAAAAAAAAAAAACAAAACAACAAGAACAAGAGCAACAAAACACCAGCAGGGTGTGGTGGCACAGGCCTGCAGTCCCAGCCCTGCAGGAGGCAGAGGCAGGTGGATCTCTATGAGCTTGAGGCCAGCCTGGTCTACAAAGCAAGTCCAGGACAGCCAGAACAGCCAAGGCTACACAGATAATCCCTGTCTTGAAAAAACAAACAACAACAACAAAAACTCAAAAACCAAACCAAACCAAAAAAAAAAAAAAAAAAAAAAAAAAAATCCCAACAAACAATGCCATCTTTTCAGAGAAGAAACTATACTTTACACTTCACTGGAAAACCCACAAATAGCCTGTAGTACACAGTAGGAATTAAATGAATTAAAACAAGCTACAATTAGAATCACATTGCATTCCAGAGGCTCACTTGAAAAGCTGTTGTTCAGTGTGGCTTCTTGCAGCACACCAGTTAAGCAAAAGCCCAAGCGTTTACTAATTTTTGTTTTACATGACAGGTTTTTTGCCTTTTCAAAGGGCCTGTGACTGCATTCCCCAAGCAGCCAATCTATCTTTACCCTGCAGCTGTTGCCTAGGTAACCAATCCATCCAAATAAAAGATTTATACACAATAGAAAAAAAGGAAATCAAACTAAACTAGAGGCTCGAGCCTCCCACAAGCCTCACAGGATCGCACCTGTGCACCATCCACACAGAAGAGTCAGCGTGTCCAACTCTGCTGAATGCGCTTCACTCTTTCTTTCCTTTCTTTCTCTCTCCCTCTCTTTCAACCCAGGATTTCTCTGTGTAGCCTTGGTTGTCCTAGTCTAGCACTGTAGACCAGGCTGATCTCAAACTCACAGAGATCCCCCGCTTCTGCCTCCCAGAGTGCTGGGATTACAGGCATGAGTCATGGCCCTCGACTTAAGTGTGGTTTCTTAACTAAAACTGGCTTTTGGAGCCAGTCACCTGTGGATCCACACAGAGATGGCTTAGCACAGCCAGTCTGAGCACGTCTGCTGCCACAGTGAAGATGATTAGGAGGCAGGTCACCACTGTGTTAAAGGCACTGCCACGGAAAATCTGTAACTCAGGGCTGTGAAGCAGTGCACACGCCCACCAGAGCCTGTCACAGGCAAATCATGTGATGTGCTTACCAATCTGGACCCCATC